CCAGATCCTCAAAAGGTGTCTGCAATTGAAAACATGCCGAGGCCGCAATGCAAGAAAGATGTGCAGAGTGAAAAGAGAATCGAATGGGAGTGGAATCATGAACATGAGAAAGCATGGCGTGACTTGAAAGATTTGCTTACAAAGGAACCAGTTCTGAAGTTTTATGATCCAATGAGACCTATTAAGATCTCATCAGATGCATCACAGAGTGGGCTTGGAGCTGTTCTTCTGCAGAAGTATGATGAGTGGCAGCCTGTTGCATATGCATCGCGATCCATGACAGACGCAGAGACAAGATATGCACAGATTGAAAAAGAACTGCTCAGCATAACGTACGCCTGTGAGAGATTTCACCAGTTTGTGTCTGGGCAGGCCATCAGTGTTGAAACTGACCACAAGCCACTGATAGCATTGTTCCAAAAACCACTAAATGACTGTCCACTGAGAATCCAAAAAATGATGATGCGGCTGCAACGTTACACGCTTAACGTGATGTACACACCTGGCAAGTTGATGTACACAGCTGACACATTATCCCGAGCTGTTGATCCGAATGAGCCAGCGAACGCCAAGATGGATGATGATGTAAGAGCATATGTGAGAATGGTCACAAGTGCACTTCCTGTTGCAGAAGGGAAGATGGAGCTCATCAGAACGGAGACAAGCAAAGATGGAACGTTACAAGCACTGCGCAAAACCATCATAGATGGATGGCCCAGCTGTAAGCAAAACTGCTCACCTGTTATTCAAGAGTACTGGAACTGCAGAGCAGAACTGTCTGTAGTGCATGATGTGGTGTTCAAGGGAAGTAAAATTGTCATCCCAAAGAGCCTGCGAGGAGAGATGCTCAAAAAGATACACGCAGGGCATCTAGGCATGGAAAAATGTAAAAGGAGAGCACGTGAGGTGATGTACTGGCCACGGATTAATCAGGATGTGACAAATGAAGTGTCGAACTGTTCAACATGTCTGACATATCAAGCAAGCAATCCTGCCGAGCCACTAAAGCCGCACCCAGTGCCAGACCGACCATATCAGAAAGTGGGGGCTGACCTCTTTGTGTCTGGAGGAAAGGACTATATTGTGGTCACAGACTACTACTCTTTGTATCCGGAAGTATGTAGACTGCAAACAACAACAGCAGAGGCTGTAATCACCTCTATGAAAGCTGTATTTGCACGACACGGTGTGCCAAGTGAAGTGTTCACAGACAATGGACCACAATTCTCCAATATTAGGTTTGGACAGTTTGCCAAAGAATGGGACTTTGTTCACACAACATCAAGCCCGCACTACCCACAATCTAATGGACTAGTGGAAAAGTCCGTCCAAACAGTGAAGAGGCTGATGAGTAAGGCGAGAGACAGTGGTGCTGACTTCTACCAAAGCCTGCTAGTATACCGCACAACGCCACTTGAGTGTGGTATGTCACCAGCACAGCTTCTTATGGGACGACGCCTGAGATCAAACCTGCCCATTCAGGATAATCTGCTTAAAACAAAAGAGGGAAACAGCGTGAAGAAGTTTAAGGAGCAACAAAAAGCAAAGCAGAAGTTCTATTATGACAGAGGAACAAAACACCTACCTGAACTGCATGCTGGGGATCAAGTGAGATTCAAAGACAAATCCAACGCATGGGCACAGAAAGCGACTGTTCTAAGGAAAGATCAGCCACGATCATACATCATTCAGACAGAAGATGGAGCTATGCTGCGAAGAAATCGCCGAGATCTTATTAAGGGACCAGTAGTAGTGGAGCAGAGGTTGGAGGCTGCTGAACAACCCCAACACACACATGAGACACTATCACCTGAAACACCTACACATACACAAGAACAAACACTGAGAAGATCTGTAAGACAAGTAAAGCCACCTATAAGACTGATCGAACAGATGTAATGTGTTGACATGTTGTTTGGAAGATGATGTCATAGTATCTATGCAAGTTTCACTATGTTTGGTTACTAGTGTTGAATGGACCATAATTGTTGAAAACTAGTTGTGTTGTTAACGTTACTTTGATAAAGCCTGGTTTAACAAGTAAAAAACAAATAGAGACTGTTTATGTTTGTGAAAGTAGGTATGTTATTTTATTGTTGAAAAAAAAGGAAGACGTAATGATAACAACAAATCCTTATTTGCCTAGTATCATGTTTTATGTTGTTAATACTCCTAGACTGTAGGGGGAGCTAGAGAGCAACGGGAGTTACCTCGGAGTAGACTGTGATGGCGAAGCTTTGTTTACATGTGAACCACAGTTCGATAAAATACCTTCTCTTCAAGTAATGGTGTCATTCTTAAGAACCCATAACAACATAAAGAAGACATGGTGTCAGAAGATGGACTTGAAGAAAGGTAACGGACTACAATATAGCAGTACCGACGGATCAGCTTAGCAGTGAACGCAGTGAAAGCATGGACGGCTTACACCCACCACCGATTCTTCAGTTGACTGGAAATGTGGCTGAAAATTGGAGAAGATTTAAGCAACGTTTCACGTTGTACCTATCAGCAATTGGACTTGACGAGGCAAGTGATAATAAGCAAGCGTCAGTGTTTTTGCATATAGTGGGTGATAAGGCACTGGAAGTCTATAATAACTTCACGTTTACTGATGGTGACGGAATGAAGCTGAATAAAATAATGGAGAAGTTTGAGGCTTACTGCATACCTAAGAGAAATGTGACATTTGAGAGGCACAGATTCTTCACATGTGTACAGAAGACAGGGGAGACAATAGATCAGTATGTCACAGAGCTGCAGAACAGGAGTAAAACATGTGAATTTGGAGGACTGACAGACTCTTTGATAAAAGACAGACTTGTGTGCGGGATTCCAGACAACGGTCTGAGAGAGAGGCTACTGAGAGAGGAAAATCTTGACCTGGAAAAAGCATTAACACTGTGCAGAGCAGCTGAAACAGTGAGGGCACAAGCTAAAGAACTGCTTAGTGACAGCTGCAGAGTGGATGCTGTGAATAAGAACACACACAGAGTCAAAAAGGAGAGTGCTGCCGCTGAAATGAAACTGCAATTGAAATCCCCAGCAAACAGGGACAGAAAAGAAAAGACTTGTGGTCGCTGCGGAATGCAACATCCTCCTAAAAAATGTCCAGCATATGGGAAAAGATGCAATACATGTAACAAAAATAACCATTATGCTAGGTGCTGCAAAGCTCAAACCCTGAAACAAAGTGCAGTCCATACTGTGGATGAAGAAGACACAGAGGAACTCTATGTAGCTGCAGTGACAGACAATAAGACAGGTGAAAAGGACTGGATAATGACACTGTGAATGACACACTCATGACAGTCAAGCTGGATACTGGAGCTCAAGTGAATGTCATATCAGAAGCAGAGTTCAAGAAAATCAGACCTAGACCTAAAATGCATGCAACGAAGGTGAAAGTGAGTGGATACTCAGGTGCAGAAATACCTGTGAAAGGAAAATGCATGGTTAAAGTGACACACAAAGACAAGGAGCACACGCTAACATTCATTGTGGTACCGAAGACTGTGCAGCCTATACTAGGGTTACATGCCTGTGAGAGTCTGAACCTAGTGAAAAGAGTGCTCGTTGTGGAAACTGATGATGACATGGACTATAATGAGTTGATGAAGGAATATGGTGACCTATTTCAGGGACTTGGTTGCCTTGCTGGAGAACACACAATCAGAGTCAATGAAAGTGTAACACCAGTCATTCATCCATGCCGCAAAGTACCATTTGCTCTACAAAAGCCACTGAAAGCTGAGTTGGACAGGATGGAAAACCTGGAAGTGATTGAAAAGATCGATGAACCAACGGAGTGGGTGAGTTCTCTTGTTATTGTGGAGAAAAAGACTGGAAAGCTCAGAGTTTGCATGGATCCTAGAGATCTGAATAGAGCAATAAAGGTTCAAGGTTCAAGGTTCAAGGGAGAGAGAACATTTCAAGAGAGAACATTTCAAACTACCTACAAGAGAAGAGATAATGTCACAGTTTGCAAAAGCGAAGTACTTTAGCAAACTAGATGCTTCATCAGGATTTTGGCAACTGAAGCTGGACGAAGCAAGTTCAAAACTGTGCACGTTCAACAGCCCATTTGGCAGGTACAGATTCCGGCGACTGCCGTTTGGCATTGCTTCAGCACCTGAGGTGTATCACAAGACAATACACATGATCTATGAACACCTGGA